AGGGAGGTGGGCTGAGATATAAGGAGTAAGGAAGGATGAGAAGGGTAAGAGGGGCAGGTCCTGTGGTGTGGCAGGTATGTCCACACAGATGCTGGTTCAAGTCCCAGTTGTTCCACTTCTGATCTAGGTCTCTGTTGGGATGACCCAAGTCCTTGGGCACCTGCACCCACATGGGAGACCCAGAAGAGGACGTTCCTGGCTTCAGACCATCCCAGCTCTGGCTTTTGCCACCATTGGGGGGGGGTGAACCAGAGGATAGCGGCTTTTCCTCCTTCCCTCCTTCACTTTGTAACTCTGACTTTCAGAGATAAATCTTAAGAGGAGGGATCAAGAACTGGGCCCTGGAGCCCAAGTGAGGACTTTGGGAAGAAAGCCAGTGGTGAGAACTGAGTAGGACTGGCCAGGAGGCAGGAGAGAAACCAGGGCAGTGTGATGCTACAAAAGGACAGAGGATGAAGAGGGAGCCACATGTTCAGGATGTGGAGTGCTTGTTGGAGCAACCAAGGAAGGCTGAGGCACAGCCACTGGCATGAGCCCCATGGGCATCCCTGGTGACCTTGACAAGAACAGTTTCAGTGGGGGAGTGGGGACAGGAGCCTGAGGAACATGGGCTCCAGAGAGAACCAGGGCTGGAACTGGGCACTAATGCACAACTCTTCCAAGTTACTGCCTTATAAAGAAGATAAAGGAAATGAGGCAGCACCTGCAGGTGGAGAACTCAAGGGGGAAGAAGGGTAGGAGCTGGGACGTGCATGCTGGTAGGAACAATCCAGCAGAAGAGCAGAAACTGAAACAAAGGATTCAGAGCAATTTTCTTTCTCTTTTTTACAGTATTCATGGGATTTAAAACATTGTATTTATATCTGTTTGAAAAGCAGATGCAGGAGAGTTACCTTCATCCACTTCCATCCCCAAATACCAGTAGCACCCAGGGCTGAGCTTGCCTGAACCCAGGAGCCTAGAATACCATCCAGATCTCCCATGTAGGTGGCAAGGGCCCAAGGACCTGAGCCATCGTCCACTGCCTCCCATACACAGTAACAGGAAGCTTGGATGGGAAGCACGGAGTAGCAGGACTCAAACCAACACTCTCAAATGGGATGCAGGTGTCCCAAGTGGTAGTTCCAACCCACTGCACCACAACACCTGCCCCCCACAGACATACAGTAGAGTAGATAAGAGAGGCTGTGGATCCTGCTTGTGATGGAAGGGTGGGTCTAAGTGGGAACATGAAGAATCTAGCTACAATATAGAAGGGAGTGGAAGAGCCCAGGATAGGGGCCAGGGAGCAGAAGAGGGTTGAGGTTTGTAGAAAGTTTGTCCTGGTGGCTCCTATCTTCTCAGTGCATAAGAGTGAAATCATCAGCCAAGAAAAAGGATGGTGGAGGTGGTGCTGAACACATCACAAAGAAACAGCAGGTGCAATGAGATTTCAGCAAGAACAGTGCCGTTGATGAGCACCATGGGCCCTGTGAGTGTTACTGCCATTCATTCAAAGTGGTCCCACTCACTGTGGCGGTGAGATTTTTCTTGAACTTGAGATTGATGGGGGAGCTAGTGAGGAGCTGAATCTGTCTAGAACTGGGATTTTTGCCAAGTGGCTGCGACAAAATCACAGAAGAGCAAAAGAGTTGAGGGTGCTTGTAAGGGAGGAACCGAAGTCACGGGTCATGGTCTATAGGTTTTTTTTAATGATTCATTTGAGAGGTAGAGGAGGGTGGAGAGGAACCATATGCTGGTTCATTCCTCTAGTGCTCCAACATCGGAGCAAAGGCTGATGTCAGCAGCAAGGAGACCGTCTGGGTCTCCCACATGGGTGGCAGGGATATGACTGCTTGAGCTATCATGGTTGTGTCCCCACCCCTCTCCCCAACCCTAAGATACTTAGCAGTCTCCATTTGGTACTTTCTGGATACTAGATGAGTCTACCATGCAGTGTGGCCTGTCCAGCCAGTGGGACTATAGCCGTGAAGAGTTGTCTCCTGCTGACAACTGGTACCAATGGTGTCAAGGGTGAACCACCTAGGACTGTCCATCTAACCCTAGAATCCGAAGTGGCATCATCTGGCCTGGCACAGTAGTCTAGTGGTTAAAGTTCTCACCTTGCATGCCCCGGGATCCCTTATGGGTGCTGGTTCATATCCTGGCTGCTCTACTTCCCTTTCAGCTTCCTGCTTGTGGCCAGGGAAAGCAGTCGAGGATGGCCCAGAGCCTTGGGATCCCTCAACCGCATGGGTACCCAGAAGCAATTCCTGGCTCCCAGCTTTGAATCAGCTCAGCTTCGGCCATTGTGGCCACCTGGGGAGTGAACCAGTGGATGGAAGATCTTTCTCTGTACATCTGACTTTCCAATAAATAAGAGCAGGCATGATCATGATTTTAGCCCCATACATCTTGAGACTACTTGTTAGACAGGAAGGAGAGAGTCATGTGAGTTGGTTGGTAGGCTTCAGGGATAGAAGAAATATGGAGGGAGGTGGTGGAAAGAAAAGCTGGGGGAGGAAATTAAGACAAGGTGGGAGGAAATGAGTAGAGGGGAAGATGGGAAAGTAAGCTGATGTGGAGGGGGTGAGAATGGGCTGCTGCCAGGAGACCCTTTACGTATGCCATAGCCTCTCTTGTCCATCTGTAATTTTACCAATTCCACTTTTGGAGACCTGTTAATAACTGGAGATCTAAATTGCTCTCTTTCATTGTATAACCCCACACTGTGCCTGAGGATGAAGCAAGAAAACATCTCTGTGGTCACTGCACCATGGCTCCCTCTTTGGGAAATAAGCTTCCCTGCATAACAGTTGAACTTGAAAGGTTTGCCTTACTGATGACCAGACTCCACGCACTGGGGAAATCTAGGTCCCCTTCTGTCTTGGCTAAATCAGAGCACAAATCTCTAGGATACAGAGGTGGAAAAAAGTAGATGCAGGACAGGATCAAGACCCAAAGTCGTGGAAGACGTGTGTGCCATGCAAATGGAAAGTATGCAAGAGTAAAGAGGTTGGGCCGGTAAGTAGATCAGGCCATGGTATTGACATAGTGGTGCGGCTTTGCCATAAGGAATCAGTCTTAGGTAAAATCAAGGTCAGTCTTCATGTAGGCACCTGATGGACATTTCACATTGTATTAGGTAGCAATAGCCCATGCCCATCTAGTGACAAAAGCAACATGGAAGGTGAGCATTTGGCCTATTGGTTAAAACTTCTACCCTGAAATGCAGTTCTTGGAAACAAGGCCCAGCTCCAGGTCCTGACTCCCGTTTTCTGCTAATGCACACTTTGGGAGGTGAGAGTTGGGCCACCTGCAGCCCGTGTGGGAGACCTGGACTGAAGTCCCTGCTTCCAGCATCCGCTTGGCCCAACCCCAACCCTTGCAGGTGTCTGAGGGAATGGACCAGTGTATGAGAGCTCTCAAACAACGTAAAACAGATTTTTTTTCTCAAATGAGGCCAATACTTCTTTTAAAGGAAAACAACATGGGAGGTGATTTTTTATCATGTATTTATTTATTTATTTTTTAAATGTATGTTTAAAGAGACAATAAGCTGTTACCTTTTTCGTTCTGTGGAGGGAAATGGAGAGTGTGGGGGATTAGGGGCAAGAGGTCTTCCCTTTCACTTTGCGTTTTGTGAACTCACAAAAGTAAACAGATTTTATCTCATGGAATTCCTGCAGACGAATGGTTCTCAAAATTTATCCCATTCCAGACAGACAGAACTCTTTGGAGACATGTCCCATATATCTGTTTTGTAACAAAACTCCTGTCAAGTCTGACCACGTGCAAGTGTGAAAACCACCGCTCTGGGCCAATGGCTTTACTTCCTCAAAATTGTTTGCATATTCAAGCTCCAGGTTGCACCCCAGACTGAGCAAACCAGACCGTCTGGGTTGGGGTGCAGGTGGCTGTAGTTTGGTAAAGCTCCCTGGTGATCCTAAGAGGAAGCTGGCGGAAGCAGGCTCTAACTTTGCTCACCCTTGCAGGCAGGATAGCCTGGAGATTTTTTTTGACTTAATGTGTGATTAAGGAATTTCCAGAACTGGGCTTTTGAAGCAGTGGATAAGCCACTACTACGAACACCTGCATCTTATAGTGGGGCACAGAAGCTGGCGTCCCAGCTCCTCTTTCTGCTGATGTTTCTTGAGAATCGAAGGTGATGGCTCAAGTAGCTGGATCCCTACCTCTTTTGGTCGCTGCTATATCCTTAGGTGCCTAATGCATTGCCTCATACATGGTAGACACTCAACAGGTGCATGCTAGAGGAGCAGGCCTACTGCCTGGTATGTGCCCTCTGCAATGTGGGATGCACAGAAACCCAGGGCAGAGCTAGCAGCCTGGCATGCATTGGAGGTCCTGACCTTGCCTCCTCCTTCAGACACACCAAAAAAAAAAAAAGGCAGATCCCACTAGTCTCTGCCTTCTAGAAACCTACTTCCCAACAAAATCCTACAAATACCCAGGCGTGTCCTCTCTTCATTGACTTACTTGGGGACAGTAATTGCCAGACTGAGGCCACCTGGTCCAAAGCTTTTGTTTTAGAGATGGAATCGAGACATGAAAAAGGACAAGTGACATCTCCCCGGCGTGTTTCCATGATGAGATCCACAATGGCCGTCCAGGGTGATCCTATAAGGGAGGTTAGGAGTGGCCTCATTTGAAGAGGATGCAGCTCTGGGCCAGAGTTGATGGGGGAGAGTCGGTCAGCACCACGCATGGGGCCAGAGATGAGACAATCTTCCCCTGTTCCAGTGGGGATCTGGGATTTGAACATGGTCCTTGTTTGACCATGACAAGGAGCAGGAGCAGCAGATGAAAGAGAGGCCCAAAGCCAGTCCTTGGTCCTGCCTTCATGTGACTCAGGCACAGGAGTGGCCTTCAATTGCTGCATCAGTACTGGGAACAGCTCATTACCACGCGCCTCAGCCCCACCTACTGCACCCAGCTCCTCCCCATTCCTATAAGGCCAGGGCTCCCAGGAGCACCCTCAGCCCCACCCACCTGCACCCAGCTCCTCCTCATTCCTATAGGGCCAGGGCTCCCAGGAGCACCCTCAGAGAGCAGCGCAAGCACAGAGCACCTTGCCGTCATCTTGGCCTCTGGGAACTGGCCACCCGTGGGCATTGTGGCTATTCATGGGGCACCCAAGCTTACAAAAAGGAGAACTTACTCTCTTCTTGTCATTCTAAAAGACTTATGAAACTGGACCCCCATTTCTATCGGCACACGGGAAGCTGAGGATTTCCTACTGGGGCAAGACCTTGAATCTCAAACTCCTGAAGATTCTAAGAAATCCCAGAAGCAAAGACTTTGGCACAAAACCCCTTGGAACCCAGTAAGTGACACTCATGTTTTCTGTCTTATTTACATTGATGGTCACCTTGTTTAAAGACTGAACACAGCCTTAGGCCCCTAAAAAGTGGGAGGGAATTCTCTGAAGACAGACAAACGGCTAAGTAGCCCATATGTAGCTGTGAGGCAACTTCATTGTCTAGCAATACAGAGAATGGATGGGTTGGTAAGGCTAGCACTCAGATGTAAAATGGGTTTTTGCTAAACAGAAAGCATTTTTTTTTTGAGTGATTGCTGTTGATTAAGAGTTTGTATGAAGAAACAAGTGTTGTTTTTTTTTTAAGGTTTGAAAGGCATAGTTACAGACAAAGGAGACAGTCTGATTTTCAAGATTTGCTTATATTTATTAGAAAGGTAGATTTCCAGAGACAAGGAGAGACAGAAAGATCTTCCATCTGCTGGTTCACTCCCCAAATGGCCACGATGGCCGGAGCTGAGCTGATCTGGAGCCAGCAGCTTCCTCCCGGGCTCCCACGTGGGTGTGGATGCTTTGGAGCATTATCTGCTGTTTTTCCAAGGCATAAGTAGGGAGCTCAATGGAAAGTGGAGCAGCTGGGACACAAACTGGCAGAGGATTAGCCAATTGAGCCATTTTGCTGGGTTCGAGAGAGATCTTCCACTCACTAATTTACTCCCCAAATAGCCTCAACAGCCAGGACTGGGCCAGCCTGAAGAGAGGTGCCTGTAGCTTGTTCAAGGTGTCCTGCATGGCTGCAGGGACCCAAGCATTTGGGCCATTCTCCACTGCATTCTCAGGCCATAAGCAGACAGCTGGATCAGAAGTGCAGCAGCCAGGACACACCCTGGCACCCATATAGGATATCTGTGCTGCAGGCAGAGGCTTTCATTGTCGGAGTCCAGTTCCAGCTGAATTCAGAGCTCCAGAAGTGTGTGTGGAGTCGGCGATAAAGAAAGACACGGACACTGTCACTTGGTGCCTTCTTGCTGCTTTTTTGCTCAAGAAGAAGCTGTTCTTTTTATTTACTTAGACACATCACAAGCCTCTACACAAACATTTGAGTTTTTTTTATTTTTAACTTCAGAACTAAGATAGCATGCACAGATGTTCAATTAATTTTTTACTTCATGGTCAACCAGGTGCTCTTAAAGATAATTCTGTAAGTTACTATAATCAGTTTCTTTAAAGCAAGCCGTTATTCATTCTTCAGAAGTAGCCGTTAGGTGACAAGCAGGACTCCAAGGCCAAGGCATAGATGGTTACCTACTAATTAGCAAAACATTCCTACTACACTTTATTTTTACAACTTATCTATCACTTAATGGGAGAATTACATCAAAAGAGAAAAAACGTAAGGATCTAAGACAGTTTCAAACATTAAATTCCCCTACAACTGCAGGCTCTACAACCTCATAAGCAATCGAACAATAATCAAAAGTATATCTCTATGATGTTACTAAAATCACCCCATTTTTCCTCTAGTTAAAAAATTATGAAAGCAGCTAAAACAGCTACATTTTCTATGCTCTAAAGATTTGCAAGGACAGGCTAACCTTTAAGGTCACAGTAACTATATATTTTTTGCCATAGTAGTTTCCACTCATAGTCCCATCACTTCCATTAGTTTGTAAAATTCTTATTAAGCCGTTTCCCAGAAGGCATGCTATATGTCTGAGCCCGATTTCAGGGCAATGGGTAGGCACACAATAAGGTGTCCTGAAATGGCATGGGTTTAATTGTATACCTGTGCGCAGTTAAAGGCCCACTCACCAAGACATTATCAATAACATTAACTCTCAAGCTCACATCGGTTGCAAAAACCTGCAAAAACTGTCTCACAGGGGCAAACAAGAATGCCTCAATAGAATACAGAATTCTTAGTGGGGTGCTTGAGTGTCCTTTCAGCCAGGGGGTGAAACAGCGTCAAGGTGGTCAGAGAGATTTCCGCCGGGCCCTGCCTAACAGCTGGAAGCTCCCCCGGGCCTTTGCCACACAGAGGAGCTGTTCTCTTCACACCCTTGTGTCACCCACACCCACTGCACGGATCCCAACATTTCATGATACACCACCTTGCTAGCTCCAAGGGGTACCTTCTGTGCAAATTATTAAAGTAGAAATTGGAAAATCAAGAGAAAGTAAGTGTGGTATATGAAGAAATTGTGTCAAAATGGAAATCGTGATTGGTAAATAGTGCAGATGCCAGGATGATAAAATGCTGATGATAAAATACAATTTCTTAAGACTGGAATCAAGAATCCTCAAAAATTGGGACTTACGGTCTGTAGAAGAGTTGGGCATTCCTGGAAGCCAGCCAAGGACTTCTTGGGTGCTTTGGTTTTGTTCTGCTAAAACCAAGATGCAAGCTAGACTTGCATTACAATGATTGAGAGTTGTGAGCCTGGCTGCTATTTGCAGAAAACTTCCTTCTACAAGTCTTCCCCTGGGAGTATAGAGGGAGCAAGGTTTTGGAAGAACTGGTAATGTACAGAAGTTTGTGTGGCTTGTCACCAGGCTAGGTACAATTCATAGACCCCTTTGTTCCAGTACCAAGTAGCAAGGAGATCCAGGCTGTTGAGGCTGTGGGGATTGGGCAGTGAAGGGCTGGGAAACATGTGATAATGGACTAGCCCTAAGATCCTTGTTTTGAAATTCTTGTTGATTTCTAAGAGGCAAATACTCCTGCAAATACTCCAGCTAGCAACAGAAGAAAGGGCAGCAGGGGAAAAATGCATACATGAGCCAGCCAGCATACCTCAGTCAAGTGCTTTCTGTCATCGTGGGCTGCACCAAGACCTCAGCTGGAAGACACTAGTGCCTTAAGGTGTCAGGCTTAGGGGTACCACTGGTCACTCTGCAATGACCCTCGTGGCGACTTCCATGGCACACCCCCAGCTTGCAGATCAGTCAGCACCATGGCCCTTTGATTTGATTTCTCTTCCAAAGCTGCACATCAGGGCATCTCCCTGGAGGAGCAATTACCCCCAAAGATATTGCATGGTCACTGTTGAGTTCAAGAAATAGCAGACAGAGCCAGGAGTTGGGGCAGTAATCAGGGGGCATATTCAACATAGCACCCCTGACAGTGCAGATTCAGTTTGCTTTCATGTTGGCAATAATCCTGGATTCAAGCAGCTAGCCTTGCACCTGTTGTGTTTCCGTGCTGTATGCTGACTTCTGCGCTGAGAGGCAGATCAGAGACAAGTACAGAAACAGAATTGAGCTCCAGGCTGTTCCTTGGGTCTAGATTGTCTACAAAGCGGGAAGAACATGGGGTACAGTCACTAGGATAGGTGTGGAGTCCAGGAGGTACTGGCGATGACTGTTTCAGGCAGGCCACTGTGGGGAAGGAGGCCCCTTAAAACCCAGCCGAGGGCCTGGTGAGTGCCAGGGTGAGCGCTTTCCTCACAGTGGAGCCTCCCCACATCCCAGATGGGGGACGGCAGCTGGGAGCAGGAGAGTCGCTTGCTTGTCCGCTCATGTGGCTGGAGCCCACAGCTGGAGCCCACAGCTGGAGCCCACAGCTGCCTTTGAGCCTTTAGGATGAATTCCAAAACTTCACTAGAGGCACCCTTTTAGGGGCTGGGTTCTCATTTTGGTTCTGTCTCCAGGCAATTTTGGTTGGAAAATATTCAGAGCATATTTCAGCAGGATTCTAGCTTCCCATGAGTCACTAATAGACATCAACGCTCTATGTCCCAGCTTTCCCTCACCTCACTTCCAGTTTTATATCTCACCTAGTCAAATTGGTGAGTCAAATTGAATTGGGTCAAGTCAATGCAGATTTGATAATGACAAATATTAACATATGTTCTCCTGGCCTGTGTGCTTCCCTCTGAAGTCTTCTGGGGTTCCAAGAAGGTTGCCTGCAGACCTTTCTGTGCCATGGAAGGTGGGCCAGGCTGAGCCCATTCTGGAGCCCTCTGTTCTCATCTACCACGTAAAGGGGCTGGCCTCTGAGGACAGCAGCCTGGGGGGTTTGGGGACGAGACATTTCAGTGCTGCAGGACGTCCTTGACCCAGTCTTTGTGACAACAGCTCCTCAAATGGCCATACTTTTCCCAGCGCTATCAATGAGTGCAATGTCTGCCCTGGCAGAAGACCTTTTGTCACCTAGGACCCACGTGGATCTGTTTTGAGTTCCTGCTCAGCCAGGACTGTCTTCCTTCCAGAGACTTCCTGTTCCTGCCACAGGGCAGAGTCGCAGCTATGTGATTAGGGGCAAGGGAGCTGAGTGGCTTCAGCATTGGCCACACTTGGCCCTGGGCTTTAGCTCTTGCTGTCCTCAGGAGCATTCCCTAAAAATTCCACCTCTCTGTTCAATTACCCCCAAAATGGGAACAGTGATGTACCCTTCATTAACCCCAAGGAAGACACCTGGCCATGGGGAGGTACTCTGAGTGTGCTAGGGTTGGGACTAGAAGGGGGAGGTCTACACTACTCAGATTCCTTTCCATTTGAACAACTTCCATCGCCCTAGTGATTGAATTAATAATATGTATGCTCATTCTGTTCACTGTAGCTTCTCCTGTTAAACGATAGCTTCCATGAGGTCAGAGAGGTATCCTCGGTGCCTCCTTTCCCCCTCCAGGGCATGGCACACATGTGTGTTAAGTGGTTGACAAGCTATAACATTGGTTGCCCACAGCCAATGGCCTTGGCTAGCAGAGTTAATACAGGCACTGTTTTCCTTTCTTGTAGGAGAGGCCAGGATGGAGACTGCAACTACTCCCAAGGACTATGAATCAATCACAGAATATGACTATGGGGACACAACCCCATGCCAGAAGGTAGCCGAGAGAGCCTTCGGGGCCCAGCTGCTGCCCCCCTTATACTCTCTGGTATTTGTCATTGGCCTGGTGGGCAATGTCCTGGTGGTCTTGGTCCTCACACAGTATAAGAGGCTACGGAGCATGACCAGCATCTACCTCTTCAACCTGGCCATTTCTGACCTGCTGTTCCTCTTCACATTGCCCTTCTGGATTGACTACAGGCTAAAGGATGACTGGGTCTTCGGCAATGCTATGTGTAAGCTCCTCTCTGGGCTCTATTTCATAGGCTTGTACAGCGAGGTCTTCTTCATCATCCTGCTGACCCTTGACAGGTACTTGGCCATCGTCCATGCCGTGTTCGCCCTGCGGGCTCGGACGGTCACCTTTGGCATCATCACCAGCCTCATCACCTGGGGCCTGGCCATCTTGGCTTCCATCCCGGGTTTGTACTTTTCCAAGACCCAGCGGGAGTTCACACATCACACCTGTAGTCTTCACTTCCCTCATGAGAATCTGAAAATGTGGAGACAGTTCCAGGCCCTGAAACTGAACCTGCTGGGGCTGGTTCTGCCTCTGGTGGTCATGGTCGTATGCTACACTGGAATCATACGGATCCTGCTCAAACGACCCAATGAGAAGAAGACCAGGGCTGTCCGGCTGATCTTTGTCATCATGCTCATCTTCTTTCTCTTTTGGACCCCCTATAATCTGACTGTGTTTGTGTCTGCTTTCCAAGACAACCTGTTCACCCGTCCGTGTGAGCAGAGCAAACAATTGGACATGGCTACCCAAGTGACAGAGGTGATTGCCTATACCCACTGCTGTGTCAACCCTGTCATCTATGTCTTTGTGGGCGAGAGGTTCCGGAAGTACCTGCGCCAGCTCTTCCACATGCACCTGGCTAAATGGCTCCCCTTCCTCTCCCCTGAGAGGCTGGAGAGAGTCAGTTCCATGTCCCCCTCCACAGGAGAACACGAGCTCTCGGCTGGGCTCTGACCTGGCCCCAAGCAGAAGTGACCGCCTGATTCACTGCCATGGGTGGAGAGTGGAGGCAGTTAGACTCTCACGATGGATTCTGAAGGCAAGAGGGAATGGCAGCCATCTTAAGCTCAAAAAAGACTGAACTTAATGTCCTAGAAAGAATCACTTCTTGGGTCAGGGAGGGGGTGAGTTTCAGCTCTTCCACTAACATCTCACTGATGGAGAAGAGATGAGTCAAATGACATGTTCCAGAGCCTGGGACCAAAGGGCTTGCCCCCAAACAAGGTTTCAGATTTGTGAGTATTGGCATGTGTAAAGCAAGCCACTGCAACCCCGACTCCTGCTCTCTACCTCTACCGCCCTTGACCTTGAAACAGCGATGTCCACAGTGGACTCCACTCTGAGTCCAGGAGCCAGTCAGTAGTTTGCAGCTGTCTCCCCAAACCGTCGCTTTACCCTTACTGTTTGGACTCTTGGAAACCCTGGGGAACTTGGAGAATGGGATGGGTAGAACTTGACATAAAATGGGAAATCGTATCAGGGACCCACTATTGGAAGTGGAACTAAAAGCCCTAAAATTGATTCAGGCAGTAAATTGACGCATGCCACCCGAAAATACGATGCCATGCTTCTTGAAATAGCCAGGGAGGGAGGAACTGGTCACTTCCTGCCTTGGTGAGTGGTGTCAAATTCTCCTCTCCCTGCAAATTGCGCAACGTGTAGGTAAATCCCGACAGCTTGGTCACAGAAGCTGTAGCAAGATTGGTTTTCTTCCTTCCGGTTCTCCAACCAGACCTTCTGCTTTTAGAATCAAAGCTCCGACTACTGCCTTGGACCTGTCAGCAAAATATGGCCTGGCTTGCAAGCTACGGTGCTGGTGCGGGGTGAGGGGGTTGGGATGGCAGGAGAGACAGCAGAAACCCACCTGTCCTTGCTGGAGGGTGGGTGGAGCTGTCTATCACCATATCAGAGGCTGGGAGGACCCTTAGTTCAAGGGAGCTTATTTCCCTAAGAGCCCTTGCCCCTTCCTCTCTTACCAAGGAACCCCTTATGTATCATGTCTTTGTTCTATTTCTCTTCAAAAGCAATTTCCCCAACAACAGCAACAATCACTTCTATCAAAGCTTGAAAACACAAAACAAAACAACCCAAATACCACAATCAATCCTCATCCTACTAACTAAAGACACTGACTCTTATTGAATGCATTTTCTTTGCGGCTCTCGCCTACTCTTCACACCCACCTCATGTATATGTACAATCGAGACAAAGATGGACCCCAGTTACACTCGAGGTTGTGTTGTTACTGCTTTGCATGAGTTTGTGGTGCTCACTTTTTCCAGGGTCAATAAATCATTGGCAAGCATGGTTTTTTGGGGTGGCTGTGCTGAAGACTGCAGCAGGGATGCACCCTGTGCACCCCCTTCCATTTCCCCATCATGACTTACACAAACAGGTGCCATCCAATAGTAATGACAGAAGACCTACTTCGTTTTTGAGCTCTTGGGACCCTGATGTGTGGGGAAGGTTCTTGCAGAGTGCTCAGCTATGGGATTTCCCAGGAGCTCAGGTCTTGGGGGTGGGAGTTCCTAGGGAGACTGCAGAACCAGGACAGTCAAGAATATCAAGAAATCCTAAGCCAATGGGTGTCCCACCCTCCCATAGAAAGTAGAACATTGTGCTGGCTTCTATGATCCACCTAAACTACCCTTCCCCTTCAGGTGGGGACTCACCACGTGCCATCATCACCCATAGAAGCTGGTGTCACAATGGCCTTAAACTTTGTCTTTAGAAAACAAGATTGTACTGCCCTGGGCTGCTCTCATGGTTAAAAAACACAGACCTATGCAGGCTTTGGAAGTCCAGGTGGGTGTCAACGCTCCACCAGCTCCCTGTGGTGTCGAATGGAGGCTCTACTGGATTAAAAAACATTTGTCTACGAACTCTGATAAAGTAAGTCTGCATCAGGGACAGCTGTTTGGCTTAACAGATAAGATGCCACGTGGACCTCCTCTGCTCCCAACTCTGCTTCCTGCTGTGCACTCAGGGAAGCAGTAGGTGATGGCTCAAATCCTTGGGTCCTTGTCACTCCTGCAGGAAACATGGGTTGAGGTCTAGGTCACAGGCTTTGACCAGGCCCAACCCTGCCTGTTGTAAGCATTTGATGAGTACACCAAGGGGATCTCCCTCATTGACTTGCTCTGTCTTTTGAATCAAATAAAAATAAACAACATTATTAAGAAAAAAAGAAAAGCTGCATCAAAAAACAAAACCAAAGCTGGGACCAGTCCAGTTGGGGTTACTAGGAGTCATTCTGTCTGGGCTGCAACTCCCCTGTGGTACATGAGGGCTGAGCGTGTATTGGGCAGGGCAGGGCAGAGCAGGGCAAGGCTGGGCCACAGCATGCATTGGTTTGCTGAGGATGATCAACTATCCCAGTGAAGCTTGACAGAAAATGTCTGGCCCAGTGGAGAGGTGGACTATGACAGTCAAACAACCTTGGAAGGATTTCTGTATTCCCGGAGTAGTGATAGCAGCAGCATCTCAGAAGTATCTAAACCACATGAGCAGAACCCTCAGAAAACACTCCACAGTGGGGACCCCGATGACATCGGGTGGCATTTCCTCCTCCCCCAGGCAATGGCAGCAGTTGCAAGGCTGGGCATGGTCTCTCCTTTTGTGTCCCCCCTTTGCGCCATAAACAGGAAGAAGAAAAAGAAAATAGGATTAAAAAAACCCAAAAAATAAAAACAAAGCAAACAACAACAACAACAACAGCAACAAACCCTGAAACAAAAGACAAAACCCGTGGCCAGATTGGCATTAGAAGGTAAAGCTGCCACTTGTGATGTGAGCATCCTGTGTGGGCTACACTGTTTGGGCCATTTCCTATTCCAGCAGTGCCACTTCACGTCTAGTTCCTGCTAATGGCTAGGGAAAAGCAGTGGGGTGTGACCCACAGTGGGGACCCTGCATCCACAAGGGAGACCCAGAGGAGGTTCCTGGCTCCTGCTCTGGGGCTGGCCCACACCTGACCATTGGGATCATCTGGGGAGTGAACCAGTGGTTGGAAGACTCTGTAAACTCTTTCAAAATAGTCAAATATTTAAAAGAAAACCATAATTTGATATCATGATGAGTAATATTTCACCACATCCCCTAATGTTATTTTGAAGTCATACTTTCCCCCCATTATGAAAGACAACATGTTTTCATTGCAGAAAACCAAAAATAAACACACACACACACACACACACACACACACTCACAGAGAAATTGGAAATACCAATACAATAACCTCAAAATACGAAACAATACAATTACCTAAATGTTGGTAAACTTTAAAGAGCTCCTGCAGGGCAATTTGTTTTATAAATTGATTTTAATTTAAAAAAAAGTTACACATTGATTTCAAAATTAATTTACAACCAGAACATATCTAAACTCCACTTTTCCATGAACTTCTCTTGGTAGATTCCGCACTTCTTCCAGCCTTATGCTCTAAATGCATGCTGATCACCATGTGACAACATGAAATACATATTTTTTGCATAACCTTGGCAGTGTTTGATACCGGGTAAGCACCAAGAAAGTGTGAATGAATGCTACGAACCTCTCATTTCCTTGCTCTGAAGTGAGGGTGGCTCTCATACCCACCTCACGGGGCTGTTTGGAGGATAAAGTAAGGAAAGTGGACACACCCCCTCCCTCTTGATCCAATAAGGCATCTGGGTCCTCCGGGACGCTGCAGCTCCTGCTGCGTCTCTCCGCGGAACCCCCAATGCTGTGCCCTGCTCCTGCGTGCACAGGGTCAACGCCACCCTGGCTGTCGTCGTTCCTCTTGTACGTTCCGTTTTATGCTTACAGAAAGGTGATCAGAATAAATTCTCTTACCTTCTGTCTGTTCCCTGAGGGTCTGCATTTTGCCACATTGGCCGTGATCTCATCATTCTCCTTATACAGATGTATGTCAGTGTTCAGATACTATTTTCTTTCCTAGAACCGTTTGAGACCAAGTTGAAAAACAGAGCCTCATCACCCCGTAGTGGTTCAGAATATTCCCTCATCTCTTCATTTGACACAAGCCCCTGGGGTCGGGCACCAGGGTATGCAGACCTGCCACCTGCCGAGCATCGATGTCTGTGTGTGCCATGAGTGGCGGGAGCAGCCTTCAGAGACAGTCTGAGCTGCTGGGCCTTTGAGGCTTGAGAGGACACACATGTCCAGCACAAAATTCCTTATGGCTTTGTTCAGTACCTACCCCTTCCCCCCAGTAGTGCCTGCCCCTCTCCCCAAAGCATTTGCTTTTGGCTCTTAAACAAACACATCACAAATGTATTGGAAGAACCAGATGAGACATTCAAAGCAAATTTCCAAAAAGCCAAGTACTGTGATGGCTGAAGCTTTTGTCCGCTTTTACACTGCCACATTACACAGCATGGGATACGGGGTGTCACATCACAAAGTAACAGACGAAAGAGAAGGCCAAAGATGCCAAGGATCCACTGTCCTAACATGTGAGCCAATCTTACCAATGAGTAGGATGACCAATAAGGCTGCTACATACTTGGTTATCTTCATTATCTTAAAAATTATACAAAGGTATACACAGGTCAGGTCAGAGAATGAATGCAATAGCCATTAACATAAAACACGAACCAAAATAGTGTTAGAAACATCAGTTAAGTATGACCCACCCATCCCAATCCTGGGAATTTATCCAAATGAAATCAGCACGTGAGAGTTTTCTGTACCCCCATGTTTGTAACACCTCAGTTCACAACAGCTAAGATGTGGAACCAACCCCGATGCCCATCAACTGATCCCTGGATAAAGAAAATGGGGTATACATATACTATGGGGCACTACACAGCCATAAAACAATGAAATTGTGCCTTTTGCAAGACAGGAGTAGGGCCCATGGAGTCATCTGGAACCCCTGAGGGCAACCAGGCAGATTGTGTCTCCCCAGGTCCAATGTCAATGGCAGTAGCAGCCTCATCTCATGACTCTCCAAGTGTTGCAGTGCCAATGCCACCAGAAAGCTGTGCTGCTCACCAGGGAATATGGAGGTGCCGAGGATGAGGACAGAGAGCCAGAGGTTCTGTGGGTGCTGTCCCAACCCTATAGGTTGAGGCAGCAGATGTACGGCAAGTGTGTGAGCTGCCTCCCGGTCTGGTGCCTGCTTCCGTCTTGACTGCAGAATTTCAAAGCAGTTGTTCCACTTCCTTCCAAATATTGGATAAATCTCTCCTGGCTGGTGCTAACCAGAATCTCCCCAAAGACAAGGAATTTTTGGAAATGTAGTTTAACTGACTAAGTTCCCCCATTCACGATGGGGAATGTTTTTGCTTCTTTCTATGCTCTCAATGCCATCTAACATTAAACATGATTGCATCCCAAGAAAACCTATTCTTCATGGAAAGAAACAGGGAGGGGGGCAAGGCAGAGAGCACGCGGAGAGAAGCGAAGAAGGTCTGTTAGAACACAATGGGATGAGTGCATGTTCCTGGAAGAGGGTGTGGTGTAAATGAAGACTAAAAGCTTGACAGTCTGGGAGCTGCACCAAGCTTGGCAACTTGCACAGTGTGCTGGGGTGCTGCGACCTGGAGCTGGAGCAGGAGGCCTGATGAGACACGGAGTCTGAGTTTCTTGCTCAGCAGGTGACCCTCAGGGAGATGAACATAGGCTTTAGGGGAGCCCTGGTAAGCACTTCAGCACCTCTCTGAGCCCCATTTTTCCTATCACTAGAAAGGGGATAATTGAAGCAGTGAGGACAATGAAGACTTTGCATAAAGGTCTTGTCAAGTCGTGACTGAGTTTGTGACTGGCACTTGGATTCAGTGTCCACTCATGGTCGCCTGAGTCCCCCAGGGCTCATGCATTCCCTGGGCCTCACCCACTTCCTCCTTGTAGCAGTGTGGAAAAAGTCCTGCAGAGGCCCCAGAGCTCCCAACAAACCCTTCAGGACACTTGACTGATCTCTGTCGTCTGTTTCTCTGGTGTCCTTGTATTACCCTGATGCCCAAGGCACCTTCTACTATGGCCTTTCGTGTTCAGCATCACCCCAGTATGTGACAAGACAGCTATTTGGCCTGCTTAGCTTTTATTGAATGAGTACTTGATTCCTGAGAGTGAAAAAAAAAGAGGGGGAAGTTACTTATTTTTGAATATGTTTCTTGGCAAAATTGCAGAAATACAAACAGCTTTACACTTCTCCTTTCTATCAAAATTTGCTCTTTCTGCATCCTCAGCAGGAACCAAGGCTGAGAGTTGCCCTACACATCAGGGTGATTGACAACACTGTATGTGACCACAAAAGACTGTAAGGACGTGGCCAACAGCTGTGTGCAAGGAGTGAGGCGA